AGGCTTGTGGGAAGCCGGTGGTGGCAGTTGGGCTCTGAGGGTTTTTTCCTGAGGAGCTGTTTTGTTTGGCATTTGTAGTTCTAAAAATAAAGTTAGTTTCTTTTGACAAGTGGCTCCTGAATTGTGCCCAGCCAGACTGCGGCACCTGGTGTCTAGCTGGAATTCGCCATGCTTCCTGTGCTAGAGTGTGCATGTGGTTTCTCCTGCCTGGTCAGAGCCTTCATCGCTGCATGTGAGGTTCCAGCCTCCCTCATCGGTCAAGGGTTAAGTTTAACCTCTGCAGTGGAGGCCAACGACTGGGCAATACAGACCCCGCTGCCTGTGCTCCAGTCCCAGTTGTGGGTGTCTTTGGCAAGTCACTTGAGCTCTCCAGACTCAGTTTCTTCATCTTTAAAATGGGGAAAATGTAAAAACTGCCAGGGGCTGGGTGTAGGGCAGGCTGGGTGTGGAACTCAGGGGACTGCCACAGAGTCTCTGTCCGTTTTCTGTTGCTAGTACACCATGCCACAGACTGGGTTTGTTGTAAAGAAAAGAGGTTTTTATTTATCTCACAGTTCTGCTGATGGTCTCCCTGGCAGAGTCCTGAGGCAGCACACAGCAGGAACATGTCTCTCTCCCTCTCATAAAGCCACCAGGATTCAGTTACAGGGTCTCTAATGACCTTATCCCATAGCAACTTCCGTAGGCCACATCTCTAAACCAAGAGTTGGACCGAGTTTCCTTCATCATAGCACCGCCCAGTGGGGACCAAGTTTCAACACATGGAGCCTTGGTGGTGGTGGCATCCAAACTACAGCCCAGGGCAGTTCACACCCATGCAAGTTCTCCTCCACGACTTCAGCTTCCACTGGGTCCTCACATGCCGAGTGGGAGACCAGGGCCTGCCTCAGACTGAGACTGGGAACAGGACCATAGACAATCCCCCTGTCCCCACAGTCATGATCATCAACAGTGGTCTACCATGGAGGGAGGGCCCGAAGCATGGGGAGCACCCATTTGGTAGCGGAGGTCCATACAAAAGGAGTAAAACCCAGGGTGGAACAGGAATATTGTGACCTGCATCGTCACCCAAGAGCATAGCACCAGGGGAACGTGAAGCCCCTAAAAGTAAACAGTGACTTCAAAATCCAAACCCAGCTGGATTCCTGCCTAGATGACTCATCCCCTCACCCTAAAGGAAGGCAGGAGGAAGACAGGCACATTTCATCAGTCTTTGCTCTTGTGCAGGTCTAGCCTTCAACCAAAAACTGCAAGATAAAACAGCAAGCAAAACCCGTTGGGCTGGGCTGTGGCTCAGTGGCAGAGCGCTCGCCTCTCATGTGTGAGGCCCTGGGTTCCATCCTCAGCACCACGTAAAAATAAAGTTTTTTWAAAAAGCCCTCCGTCAAAAGACAAATCTATCAACAGTGGGCTCTGGTGGACCACATGCTTAAATAGATGAATAATTTCAGCAGAGAGAGATACTTTAATGGAGGGAAATGGAAATGTAAAAGAAAAAGTGGCAAGATAAAAAGAATATGCTTTTGATGGGCCCATGAGTAGATTCAACACAGCTGAAGAGAGAATCAGTGAACTTGAAGGTTGATGGAAAGCATCCAAACGGAATCACAAGAAAATATATATATGAGTGATAACAAAATAATAAGGCACCAGAACTTTGAAACAATATTAAAAAGGCACACATTTCGAGACCAAAGGTAGAGATTAGTAGCATGTGTTTTGTCTGAAATGATGCAAGTCAAAGATAACAGAGAAACACCCTTAAAATGCTAAAAGGAAAACCACTGTCGATCTCCAATCTTATACCTAGAAAGAATGTCTTTCAAAAGTAGAAAAGAAAGCCAGCCTTTTCAAACAAAAACTGAGACCAGCATTATAACATTATAAGATAGGTTTAAAGAAGTCCCTCAGATGGAAAGACTGTGCTACCAGAAAGACGCTTTGATGAAGATCCCTTGAAATGAAGGCAAACATAAAAGACATTTATTTTTCTTCTGGCACTGGGAATTGAACCCACTAAGGCACATACATCCCCTGGCCCTTTTTAAAATTTCGAGTCAGGATCTCACTAGGTTGCCCAGTCTGCCCTTAAACTTGGAATCCTCTTGTCTCAGCCTCCTGTAGTTGGGGTTCCAGGCAGGTCCCTGCCCAGCAAGACATTGTTGCTTAAATGTTTAATGCCTCTGAGATACTGTCTTTCTAAAGCAAAAGTAGTAACAATGTCTCATGAGTTGATAGAACTTGTAGAAGTAAAATTTAAGACAACAACAGCACAAAAGATAGGTGGGGGGAATTTAGGGTTGTAAGAATCTTACCCTAAATGCAAAGAGATGTGTTACTATTTGAGGGTGGCTGTGATTGATTAAAGATGTCTATGTAAACATATCTTTTAAAGAGGCACACAGACGGATCAGTGTTGCTGTGGAGTCAAGCAGAGGTTGGCAGCCCACAGTTCACATCCCACCTCCCCACCTGTTCTGATCAATCAAGTTTAATTAGATATTATTATTCATTAAAGTCACCCCTGTGGGCTTGCTGACTAGCTGGGGCTGCTTTTGGATTCTTAGGGCAGAGTCGAGTAATTGTGGAGTAGTTGCCATGGAGACTGCATGGTCCCCAAGGTCTAAGATACTCTTTTACTGATCCTTTCCAGAAAAAACAAAAAACAAAAAACAAAAAAACTTGCTGAGCCCCTTGGTGTTGCAGGAGCAAGGTGTCAGTGAGGAGGCCCAGGGAGGTGAGACAATAACCCAGGTGACAATGAAGAGAATTCAGATCACAGAGGTCATGCAAGTGTCTGGAATCAGGATCTCTTTTCAAGGTAGAAGCAACACATGGTGGGCAAAATTGACAGTATCTAGGTTTATTTCTAGCAAAGGATACTTTTCTTTTAAAAACAAAACAACAAAAAACTTAGGCCAAGGGTCAACTGAACAAACTATATGAATAACTCTACRAGATTAATTGGGTCTGATTGAAGCTGGATTTAGATGCTCAGCATCCTGTTTTCCGCAATCCCTCCCCCACTCCAAGTGGTTCCAGAAGCATACTACATCCAGACCCCCACCCTCAGGTTCAGATGAGCAGAATTTGAAAACCACAGATCAATAAGGAGAGCCGTCTGCACAGCTCCCAGACGTACCTTAACTCGCAATGCTGCGTCTCTGAGCACACACCAGTGCAGTGGTACTTGGCCAAGTGTGGGTCTACAACATGACCCTGTGTGTGGGGGGGTGCAGCATGAGAGAGCTCACATACACAATCATGTCCTTACCTTGAAAAACCAGCCTCTACCTCAGAGCAAAGCCTGTCCAAGGAAGGGACATGGCCTTTGTCCTTGGAAAGACCCACAGAGCACTCCAAGGCACATTCCCACCCTGCTAAGTTGTTTATYTACAAATAACAGGAGAGATCTGCTGTGCCAGGTGTCCCTGACTCAGTCAGGCTAGGTGGGGACCCATAGCAACCCCCTAGCAGCCACCAATCAGCATGAGACAGGGAAAATACCTGGGATGCCAGATGACCCCCCAGTAGTTTATGGTGGTTGATAACATGTTGGGAAACCATGTAGTTCAGCACGTACACCCCTCTTGGCCTAAACCAATCAGTTCAAAGGAATCCCCCTCTTGTATTAACCAATCACCCCTACCCAACTTGTTCCCGCCAGTGAATGTGCTAATCATGTTTTAGAGTTGTTATTTGATTTTCCCGCGGTGTGTGATGATTTGCTAAGAGATGCTATGATGTATGTGTGGGTCCTGCCTTCTCCAAAGAATGTATAAAACTGCTGCAAACCCTGAGCTCAGGCCTCTCAGTGTCACCAGTTGCTGTGTGCGTGCAGAGGACTGAGCTAGCTCGCAATAAACACCTCTTTGCTGCTTACATCGATCTTGGTCTTTGGTGGTCTTTTGGGGGTCCCGAATTCAAGCATAACAACCTTACTGTGTAAAGGCGCCTAAGAATAGCTAGGCCACTCAAGGTTTAAGTGCCATTGAAACTGTAGGTTTCAATGCTAATTTTAAAAATAGATACAAAAGAAAAAGTCTCCTGCTGGGGTCCAGAGAACACCCACTGCTCCTGAGAGTTTTGCTACCATCAGCTCCAAATGCCCTTCAGGCCCGTGCATGGGTGCGTACACACACGCACACACACACACACACACACACACACACATACACATACACGCTGTCCTTTCGTGGCCCCACCAAAGGGGCATGGGAGAGAATTTGTTGTTTGTGAAAGAACTCAAGACACTCAAGTCCCTGCTTCTCAGGTGCTGAGGGCACCCATCTTCTCTGCAGACCATTCTTCCATCTTTCTGGGCTCTCCCTCTTAAATGAGGCAGCCCCACCAGCTCTCTGGGAAGACCGCCAGAGCCCCAGGTCCCCGGGCAGCTGCATTGGGCCGAGTCGGAGCCAAGAGGGCGAGGGGTGGATGCCTGAGCTCTTCAGATAGAAGGACTCACCGAGACCCCGGAGGAGTGGGAAAATGTTTATTTTACAGGGAAAAGGGCTCTTGGAGCCGCGACCAGCATGCACAGATGACTTTATGGGCGTGTGTGTTTAGGTGACGGCGACTTACGGTTTGCACGGAACGGGGTTAGATAAAGAATGTCCATGTCCGAGTTCTGACTCTGGCACCTGTCCCCTCTCTTTCCTTCGTCTGTCCTCCTTCTCTCGATTTCTCTCTCTCTCTCTGCCCCATTCCCTGCCCGTCTCTCACTCCCTCCGTARTCTCTTCATCTCCCTCCTCGTCTCCCTGCGTCCTGGTCACCCAGCTTTCATTCACCGGGGACCCCGTCCAGGGCGGGCGCGCACACGACACCCAAACCGCCGTTGGTGGTGGCATGCGCGCAGGGCTGCGGGGCTGCGGTTCCGGCGTGGTGCGCCCCGCTGTCCTGGTCCGCAGCCTCCGGAGCCCGCAGCGCGCCTGCGCTCTCCTGGGTGGGCGCCCTGCGCTCGGGGAAGCAGAAGCTGCACGTCTCCACCGGCTCGGGCGGCGTGTCCGCACAGCTGCCAGCCTCCATCGCGGGGTCTGCGGGGACAGGAGAGGACGTCGGCTGGGGGCGACACTACCCTGCACTGCTCTACCCACCCCAGCCCCTCCCGGACTCCAAAAGTGTCCCCTAATCTAGGAACTAAGAGCCACCCCAGGCTCGCCCCTTGGGCACTCGGCTTTCAAATCTTGGCTCTCAAATCTTGGTTCTTTCTTAACCCCCCCCCCATACACACACCCTTACACACCTATGCCCCCCCCTGCATACCCACACCCACCCACAGGGTGCGCCCCCCAACCCATTAGCTCAGAGAGCGTCCTGCGTCCCCCTGTCCCATAYCTGCGCTCTCTCTTTCTGCCTCGCCATTTTAACCAAGATGTTACAGAGATACCATAGGGATATGTCCCAGACTTCTACCTATTAAGACCTGGCAAACACATCTGCATCCATTAGCTGGCATAGATAGGGCTGGGGATGGAGCTCAGTGGAAGAGCACGTGCTTAGCACGTGTGTGCAAGGCCCTGAGTGCAAACCCCAGCACGGTCAGGGGAGGGRCGGGGACCCTGATTCAGAAGCAGGCGGTGACCGATGTGCGAGTCTGGTCGCACAAGCAGTAACGAGGACGAGGACCCCGGTGTCATGCACTTACCGTGGGAGGACTTGTTCCGGGTTCTGCACCGCCCTGCTGTGGGCTGGCTGGAGAGCCGACCTCCCCTCCTCTTGAGGAAGCAGCCCACGGCCACCAGGAAGCAGCAGAGTATGGTGCAGAGGCAGAGCCCCAGCGTGCTGTAGATCAGGACCAGCTGGTCGGCGCTCAGCTTGGGTCCCACGAGGACTGCAAGACAAGTGCACGACCTTGAGTTCAGGAGGGGACCCCACTCCCCCAGGCCCTTCTCGGGTGGCCAGCAGCCATCCTAACCCCTCCCCCACCCCAGACACCCTCAGCGCCCCTTCCTGACATTGTGCTTCTTTCTCCCTCATTATGCCATTGGAATGGTCCCAGAGGTGGACAGATGTGCAGATGCCAGCGCAGGAAGAGAGTCTCCCTCTCTTCTGCACCTGGCCCCTCCTCCATCGGGGAGCCTTCCTGGATGAGCTTATACTTTGAGGGCAGGACTCGCAAGATTACTAACCAGCCCCAACCAGCCTTGGGATGCCAGAGAAAGACCCCATTGCTGGGTCAAAACCCTCCTTTGACATTTTTCCTTATCCCAAGTTTCCTTCCTGGCCTTTGGAATTGGGACATGAGCTAGGTCCTGGCGTGAAAGGACAAATAGCTAGATGTAATAAAATATGCATATATTGGACTCATGCATGCAAACGTGTGCATGATGGGACAAGTTACCGAGCCCATTCTAGGTGCTGGGCACTTTTTTGCACAAGTATTTTCCTTCATCTTTATCACTGGATAATTGGTTGCCCCCAGTTTAAAAGAAAATTGAGAAATAATTCATCTGCCATCCAATTCAACCTTTGAAAGTATACATCTCCGTGTTTTTTTTTTTTTTTTTTTTTTTAGTTGTTGCCACCTTTGGATCACCATGAATAGACTGCTAGGGAACGTGCATGGGTGAGGCTTCCGTGGATGTGTTTTTGAATTCTCTTGGGTGTAGACCTAGGAGCTGTGTTGCTGATTCATGCCATGATTGCTTAACCTCATCAAGAAATGCCAGACGGCTTTCCACAGCACCCCTGCGGAGGACTGCACATGTGGCWTACGTTAAGGGCAAACCACTCCCCTCGTGCCAGGCACGTAAGCRACACACCGCTTACCCCAGAGGCACAGCCCTGGGCACGAGGCCTCCTCTTGCAATCCCAGCACTTGCTCCACGATCCACTCCTCATTTGGTCACCGCAAGCACAGTTAGCAGACATTGCATTGGTGGCTGCCTGTAACCTGCTTAGCTGCTGCCTGAGTATGAATACATGGTAGCTGCTCAATAAAATCAGCCCTGCTTCCTGCCTGGTCTCTGGAGGTCTTGATTAGCAACTCCGMAGCCACACTCTCTTCTGCCCTGTTCTATGGATCTCCTCGCTGGACGAGAGAGAGCCCATGCACACCCCCACCATTTTACACACCATTTTGCAGATGACAAAACTGAATGGCTAAGTGATATTGATTGTTCCCAGTCTCAGATCTGTGACGGGGAGCAGGTCTGATGGAGTCCCAGGCCACAGGGCAGGCACTGCTGCTCATCCTTACACACACTCTTAGAGTCTAGAGTTGAGGAAGTGACGGGGCTAGCAGGATGCTGGTGTCACCAGGGCAGTTACAAAGTGGAGACAGGCGTTCTGGGTGGGCCTGGGGTGCTGTCTTGTATGTGCCTAGAGCTCAGACAGCCCAGAGAAAGGGGCACACCCGAGTGCGGGCACACGTGGTCCTCAGGAGGTGAGACTGAGGCTCACTGTTCCCACTGGGCCCTGGGATAAAACACAAATGTCCTACTGGCTGGACCCACGGGACAGAAGCCGGCAGCCTTCRCAGCCGAGACAGAATGGCAGCGACAGACAGCCACAGAGCAGAGGTGGGTGCGTGGTCATTCGAGGAGGAAGACCAGACCTTTGCACATCTGGAATATTTTCAGCATGAGGTTTGGACCAACCAGACGGCTTTCCACAGCAGAAGGACCACGGCCACCACATCGGGGCGGAGTTCCCTCCCTTCCATTCGGGGCTGAGTCCCCTCCCATCCATTCTGGGCTGAGTCGGGACTCATCTCACCCAGGAGGATGCCCTGGGGTAACCCTGTGCCAGCCTTGGCCCTGCACCTGAGGCAGGCCTGGCCGCCCCTGCTTTTGCTCTCTTGGGAGACCTAGGCGTCAGAGCTGGGCCTCCAAGGTCCCCATCCCTAGCACCATCCCCCTGGTGGCCCCATGAGAGACCCCAAATGAGGCCAGCAGGAGACTGGCCCAGCCAAGCCCCGCCCCCTCCCAATTGCAAAGAAATTGGGCACTAAGTTTCCAGTGGGTTTTCCATGCCGCAGTGGGTGACCCTCAAGAGCCCCTTTGTTTTTAGGGGGAGTAAAGGACTTTTCTCTGCTTTTCCTCTCTGCCCAGACCAATGGTCTCAGGTTTTCCTGGGGGAAGTGAAAAATCGTCCCTACCTAGAGCCCTGCTCAGAAGTGAGGCTTTTGAAAACCCCTGGACTAAGAAGAGAAACGCAGATTAAAACTACCAAAAAAAAAAGTCGTTTTCTACCTGTCCCCCAAGGGGTGTGGGAAAACAGGCRCCTCCCATGTTGCTAGTGCGGGTTGGCTCTTTTCCGGGCCATTTGAAACCATCTGTCACCATTTACTTTTAGTTTTTACTTGTTTAGTACCAAGGACTGAACCCAGGGGCCCTGTACCACTGAGCTACATCCCAAAATCTTTTTATTTTTATTTTGAAACAGGGGTCTTCACTAAGTTGCTGAGGCTGGCCTCAAACTTGAGATCCTCCTGCCTCAGCCTCCTGAGTCATGGGGGATGACAGTCGTGCACCACTGTGCCCAGTCATCTGCCCCCATTTAAAATGTAATTTTCTGATTCCTTTGACTGCCACTCTCATGTCCCCCTACCTACACACAGGATCACTCTACCCTGATCCCAGAGGGCAAAGGAGCTCAGTCACAAGCACTGTTTTGGGAATGGAACCCAGGGCCTCACACATGGTAGGCAGGCACTCTCCTGTGAGCAAGGTTTGTCAGTGGATGTAACTTTTTTTTTGGCGGTGTTAGGGATTGAACCCAAGGCCTTGTGCATGCGAGGCAAGTTCTCTACCCACTGAGCTATATCCCCAGCATCAAGCAAGCTTTGTCAGAATCGATGCCGGTGAAAATCAAGTTCCCAGAAGATGGCCCCTGGTTGCAGTTCCCAGATCCTACCACCAGAGGGCACTGTGCACAGCTTCTGCCCTCCAGAGGGCCAGGCAGGTCCCCAGGCAAAGTTCATTTCTAAGCCAATTTTTGTGAATTTCGCTTGGCTTTTTCGCCTTATGTCTGTCTTTAAAAAAAAACTGTCTTCAAAGCCATCTCTCACTTAAAAATAGAATTTCCACAGCCTGCTTGCTGTCCCAGCTCCAGCTTGGGCTGTGCCTCTCCACCATATTATAAATCATCCCTTAGGGGACACACAGAAATTTGGTGACCCCAGCAGGGCTGAACCAAGAACCCAGTGTGGCCTGGCTGTTGCCCTCACTAGAGGGGCAGGAAGCCGTGGTGATTTTAAGCCTGTTTCCCTGTCTGCAAAATGGGGTCTGACGTTCTGTCTCTCAGCACCCAGATACTGCAAGTCAATGCACCAGGCCTGGGTGGGAGTCCAGCAGGTCACCGAGGTCCCCACACCTCTAAGCTCACTGGCCACCGGGAAGGCCCTGGGGAGAGGTGGGGAGGGGCTGGACCCGTGGGACCTCTGACCCGTGTGCCTGGCTCTGGCCTCCCCCAGACCCAGAAGCCTTCAGGGATGTCACATCCATGTGACGGTCCACTCGGCCGGTCTCTGCTTCCTACCAGTTCCGTGCACGCTGTGGGATGCTTGGTCGAGTGTCGGTGGGGAAGGGGGGTTTCCTGTGTGAACTAACAGCCTCACTTTTAGGTCACTGTGGGGGGGCCCTTCAAATGTCCACTCTGCGAGCCACTCCCAGAGGACACCCCTTGTCCCCTGTGGGTCTAAACTTGGGAACAGATGGGACGCTGGGAGGCGGTTTCACTTTGGGTGTGTGAACTTCTACYGAAACCATTTCTAGAACGTCACGGCACCCCCCCGCCCTCCACTCACCTCTCTCCCTGGGGTCCCTGGATCTTTGGGGGACCCTCTTCTCCTGAGGGCGAATGTGTTCTCCTCGAGGGAGACACAGACTCTGTCCAGGCCACGTTGCTGTTTACGGCCTCTTTGCTGGCCCTTGGGTCACATCAGTTGGCTGTTCAGCTGGCCCAGGTCACTCCAAAGTGACTCCCAGGTCCCACAGCCTACGCCAGCTGCTGCCCTCCATCTTGGCTCTCTTCATACCCAAGTCTCCTCTTCCTCCCCTCTCCACCCGCGTCTACCCTGCGCCCTCGGCTTCTGCCCGATCTTAGCAGGTCCCTGGACCCTGGCTTTAGCCGGGGAGAGTGAAATGGGAGAGTGGTCCTGCTCCCACTGGGGTAGCCCAGGACAAGGTCAGGACAAAGAGGACCCTGAGAAACTGAAAAACCATTCAAACAGTGACTAGGGCCACCTATCCTGTTCTAGTCCCCAAAGTAAATGAAACCTTGAGCAGTCCTGGGACTCAAAGCGTGGGACCCCTCCCTGATCCCGGCTGGCAGCACTAAGGTCTGAGCCGAGTCTAGACCTCACACAGAAGACCGCTCTGTCCCCACCGGGGGGCGCTGCTGAGTGAGTTAGAGGGGGCTACTGTTTTGGACTTGGCCTCCTGCTGCACCGGGTCCTCCCAGAACCAGGCTAAAGATGGAAGTGGAACCTGGGTAATGGTGGTGCACACCTGTAATCCCCGTGACTTGGGAGGCTGAGGCAGGAGGATTGCAAGTTTGAGGCCCAAACCCGGGCAACTCAGCAAAGACCCTGGGCATGTAGCTCAGTGATAGAGTACCCCCTGGGTTCAATCCTCAGTCCCAAGGAGAAAAAAAAAATTAAAAAGGAGTCATTTACGCGAAAGAAGAAACCAAGCTAAGAGTAACTAAGCTGTTTATCTGACCTTCCAAGAAATCAGGAAAGATGAGAGAAGGGTCAGATTTCCCCACAGCCCAGTTTCAGCCCGCAGGGTAAGGAAGTTCCTCTGTCTTCCACCAGGAAAGTCCACCTGCAGGAACCCGATGTGAGCCAAGCAGTTCTGTGTCTATGCCTCTCTCGTCGTGGGTAAAGATCCAAGTTCTCCAGATCAGACGCCCTCCAGAGCTCCAGCACACACACAGGGTCCTGGCTGTCCCCAAGCCTGGCCTGTCACACGGGAACACTCGAAGCTCATAGTGCCCCGGGGGACGTCTCTTTCCCTTACAGTGCACCCCACATACACACCCCCAAGATATGTCCCCTCGTGACCTGCACATGTGACGACAGAGTCTTGGCAGGCGTGATGAATTGAGGACCTGGAGACTGGATGGTCCTGGACTAGGGTGGGTCCCAGATCCAATGACAAGTGTCCCCAGAAGACGGGGGAGGAGAGAGGCAGACACAGAGGAGGCCAGGCGTAGAGACTGGGGTGAAGATGGGAATCGAGCCCGGAATGATGGGGCCGCAAGCCCAGGAATGCCTGCAGAGAGCCCAGCCCTGGGCAGACCTGGGCTCTGACCTCCWGCCTCTAGAGCTGTGGCTGGGTCCACCTGGGTCGTTCTGAGTCACTCCGTCTATGGAGCAAGGTCACCGCAGCCACAGGAAGCTACCCCGCTCACCTGCAAGGGCAGCTGGCTCTCACGTGCTACACACACACAGCAAACGGAAAGTCACCGGAGCCTCGAGAGAGCCCCAGGAGGGCCTTATGGGTGGGGACAGTGGGGAAGGAGCAGTCCTGAAACTCCCCCAGGTCACCCAGGTCTTGGCCTCTCCCCACCTCCTCATGTCACACCTCTGTTCCGCTCAGGTCCTTGTTACCTGTGGCCAGACATAGCACTCACTCGGGACCCTTGCTGCCATCCGTGTCCCCAGAGGCCACGGGAAGATGGCCTCCCAGCCCCCTTCTGACCCTCTTGTCCAGTTGCTGCGTCCCTGCCTCCAGCCGGACACCGGCCTCCCCAGCCCGGCAAGAGAGTCCCTCTGTCACCTGGCACCTGGCCCCTCCCCGTGCCGTCTCCAGCCACCCCTGGCCGCTAGCTGTTCTGCCTCATTCCCCCGGGATGTCCCTTTCCAGGCCACCAGACCTGCTAGAGAAGTGGATGATGGATCACTGCGTTCCTGGGCCCCCTAGAAAAAAAATAATATATAGATATGGGGATTGTGCCCAGGGGCGCTTAGCCACTTGGCAACATCCCCAGCCCTTTTGTCAATTTTTTATTCTGAGACAGGATCTCCACAGAGTTGCTTAGGGCCTTGCTAAAGGGGCTGAGGCTGGCCTTGAACTTGTGATCCTCCTGCCTCAGCCTCCTGAGCCACTGGGGTTACAGTCTATCATTAGCGTAAGTCCTGTCTGTTGTCTCTCCCTCCGTGAGACTCTGGCCTCCCCCAGGCACGGCAGTCCTGCGTGGGCCCCTGAGAATCCTGGAATCCATTGAGGTGGGCCTCGCAGTGCAGGCTACGGGTGGTGGGGACAGACCAACCCTTGCACTGGGTTCAGTAGCTCGGTCACCTGGTGTCCTCTGCTCCCTCCCCTCCGGTAGGTCCACATCTGGGTCTGTCCCCTGTGCATGTGGCCCCGACTTCCTGTCTACAATCCACACCGGCCCAGCCCCTGCCCCGGCAGCCCACAGAGATATGAGAGGAGAGAGCAGAGAGATCTCAGCCGCAGGCCACCAGGGAGATGCCTGGCAGGGAGGGACAGGGGACAGCAAGAGAATCACCAAGTCTCTGAGGCTCCGGGAGGGCCTGTGGTGTGCCCTGGTGACACCACGGTTCAGCCAAAGCTGCAGGGTGAGGCGCAGGCAGGCTGACCCCCACTCCTGACCTCCCAACCTGTCCCTATGCACCCCACCTACACGTCCTGGGAGCTCTGGTCCTTGCAGCCAARACGAAGCCCCTTCTGTGAGGGGCTGGGCTGGTGGTCCCAAGCAGGATGTGACTCACCTCCTCCTAAGGGCAACCGGTCACCCTCAGGAATCAGTGATCCCACCCACGGGTCCTGCTCTGGGTCCTCCGGCTGTTGCAGGGTGGACGGAGCCCAACTCTGTCACCTACTTGCTATGTGACTCTCCAGGGAACTGCTGTTTGATAGGCCAAGGGCAGCTCCAAGGTCGTCTCGGGTGCTCCCGACTCCACACAGAGTCCCCCTCCCTCCTTCCTAACACCACGCAACAGGGTAGGGAGTCTGGAGGTGTGTGCTGGGTGGATCCATTCGATTATTTTTGACACCTGGCCCTCAGCGGCTGCCCAGCTGGGCWGACTCTTCTCACTGTGTTCACAATGGCCATAAAGTTTTGTTTGGGTTAATCATATCTCTTCCTTCTCATTCAAAGAATTCCCCGTTGTCCCTCACCGGAGGCTGAGATTGGGTGTGGAGGCGGGGGGGGGGGGGGGGGGGGGGTGGCCTCCTGGCACAGTGCTCAAGTAGGTTGGGCTGCTCACGTTTCAAAAACTTGCTCATCTGAGGATGGCCTGAAATCCCAGCCGCTCAGGAGGCTGAGGCAGGAGGATCAYGAGTTCAAAGCCAGCCTCGGCAAAAGCGAGGCCCTAAGCAACTGAGTGAGACTCTGTCTCTAAATAAAATACAAAACAGGGCTGGGGATGTGGCTCAGTGGTCGAGTGTCCCCTGAGTTCAATCCCGAGTACCTACCCCTCCAAAAAAAATCACAGGGTACTCCATAAATTGTAGAATTCTGTGTGAGTTAAAATATTTTAAAAAGTGTCATGGATAACTAATCCGTACAAATAAAACAATAGATGAAAAGTTTTAAAAGAAAGAACCTCAGTAGCCTCCATTACAAGTCAGGCCATTTCTTCTGCTACTTTCTTGCCCACACACTTGTGGAATTTTTATCTAAATTGTTTTGCTATCCTGGGTTGACTACCCTGGCTTCTGACCATTTGCCTGGACTCTGGGCTTCTTATATCACAGACTCTTCTTTTTTTTTTTAAGTATATATGTTTTTTAGTTGTCGATGGACCTTTATTTTATTTATTTATGTTCGGTGCTGAGAATCAGATCCAGCGCCTCACACGTGCGCCAGGCAAAGGCTCTACCACGGGGCTACAGCGACCCCAGCCCTGYAGACCCTTCTGACCAGGCTTGCTGCCCAGCCTCCCGTGCATTCTGGCCCTCCCCACCCCAGGCTTACCTGGACCTGCCTCTGAGCCTCTGTGTTCCAATCCCTGGTACCTTCCTGAGTTGTCTGACCTGGTTTCCATCCCCCCCGTCTGCGGCCTCCTGAGCTGGGGTGGAAGGTTCACTCGACTCCGGAGTTTGTTCTCACAGAAGTATTCACATTGCTTGGGGTGCTGTCCGCAGATGGGGGTGCAGCTGACACAGTCTTTCAGGAGACGGTCGTAATATTTGCCTTGCTCCTTGAGGCAACTGAGGGACTCTGGGAAACAGAAGGGAGTGATGGGTGACATGGGCCTGCAGGAGCTCTGGGTCTCATCTCAAAGGACATCAAAGTTAAAAAAAAAAAAAAGCCACAGTCCAACTCAAATAGCAATCCCGGAATAAATCCAAGTCTTTTTACAAATCGAATTTATACAAACGGAAGGCTATGAATCATCCTCCAAGTGCTGCTGTGGCTGCACCACACACATTTTGATACACAGTATTCTTCCTGAATATAGTTCAAAATGTTTTTTTTTCATTATTACTTCTTCTTTGGCCTATAGATTCTTTAAAAGACTCTTCTTTTTWAAAAATAAATAAATAATTTTTAAAAAATTCCATTTCTTAGTTTTCAAGCCTAGGAAGATGTTCCACTTATTTTTTAAAAGTGATAAACTAGATTCTTCAATTGCTTTAATTGTCATTCTTTACTTGCCTTTTCCAAACCCCATCAAGAAGAAATATATCTCCAATTAGCATAAGGAACAGAGGKGAAAGGTCAGAGTCCTCTTTGGCAAGTTGCAGGAGGGGATTGGAAGACAGGTGGGAAAGCTCACATGAGTAGCATTTTGTGGGTTTTAAAAATAAATGGGAATGACAGCCGCTAGAATAAGTATCAGTGCCAAGGAGCAGAAGCCAAGAAAACTAAAAGCCCAAGCCATTGACCTTCAAGAGCCCTACAGAACCTACACCGAGGATACAGAGAACTCTATTTAAGGGCTCCTTGAGGGCGCAGCTCAATGGTGGAGCACTTGCCTAACATGCACAAGGCCCGGGTTCCAGCCCCCGCACTGCCCAAAAAGAAAAATAGCTGGGACAATCAGTTTACCTTCTAGAAAGCCTGAGGATATTTTTATTTCCACAAGTAAACTTTCTTTTAAGATTCCATTTAGGGGCTGGGATTGTGGCTCAGCGGTAGAGCGCTTGCCTAGCAYGGGCGGGACCCRGGTTCGATCCTCAKCACCACATAAGAATAAAGGCCCAGCTACACCTAAAAAATAAATATTAAAAAAAATAATTTTTTTTWAAAAAAGATTCCATTTACAGGGGCTGGGGTTGTGGCTCAGCAGTAGAATGTTTGCCTAGGGCATGCGAGACCCTGGGTTTGATCCTCAGCACCACATGAAAATAAAATAAAGGTATTGTGTCCACCTACAACTAAAAAAAAAATTATAGTTTATGTTTTAGGGGACCTGGTGTGGGAGGGATTCATGATCTAGTATTTACAGGTAAAAAATGATATTTTAAAATTCACTTTAAAATATTCAAGCAAAAAAATGATTTGGAAAACAAAAAGGCAGGATTTTAATGATTTTTTTTWAAGCTGATCATGGGGACACGGAGCTAACTCTTGTGTTTTTGCACGTTGGACCATTTCTATAATAAAATGAAGATGACCAGAAGGGCCTCATTCCCAGTGCAGAGTCTCAGGAGACGCTGATATTGGCTCTGAGACCTGAACATTGGGTAGGAGGGAGTTGAGGGAGGATGAATGAGGAAAATGCATTTCAAGTGGAGGGCAGGGCATATGCAAAGGACCCGGGGCAGGAAAGAACACAGCCCCTTCAGGAAACTGAAAGGAGGAAAGTGGCGAGAGTCGAATGAGGGGGTGAAGAATCGCTAATGAATGAGGGGGTGCATTTCCTTCCCCTGACCCCACTTCTCAGCTGCCGGATGGCCGTGGGGCCAGAGGGAGCTTTGGGGGGGAAGTGAGGTGTGGGGAGGTCCAGCTGTTCCCTGGGCTCAGGCCCCAGAACTCACTGCAGAAGGCTGCACAGGTGCTCGGTCTCCGTTGGGCGCAGATTGGCTTGCAGGACATGCAGCCGTTCAGCAAGGAGTCCCAGTACTTCTCTTCAGGGCAGGATCTCATAGCCACCCCRAGCCACAGGCCCTGTGGAGCTGAGAGGCAGGGAGCATAAGGGTGGCTGGCAACAGATTCCCAGGGACTATTCCCTGGGTCTCTCAGTGGGCAGAGGGCACCCAGGCAGAGCTGGCTCCCCATTGCAGCTGCACTGACTGGTGCCACCTCCCCTTTCCATGCCCGAGTTTTCCCCGTCTACAAAATGCTTATTCTGAGAGTCCCTCCCTCCTTCACGTCAGCCGCACCCTGCCTGGCCGTGCTCTCTGCCCTCCTTCCATGCTGTGCCTCTTTCTGCCACAGGACCTTYGCACACGCTGTTCCCATTACATAAAAGGCTCTTCTTTTCCCCCACCCCACAACCCCTCCCCATCCTCAAGATTTCTGAAGCTTCTTTTTTTTTTTCCTTCAGGGAACACCTTTCTGACTCCCCCCACCCTGTGACAAGCCACTTTTGCTTGTCACTGAGATAACTTCCCTTTTGTGCTGTGTCTTGCACCAACTATGGGCATCATGCGGAGGGGAGGGTCTGGACCGAATTGCTAGGTCCTCAGGACCTTGAGAGTGCCCAGGGCAGAGTAAGGGCTCATGAAAGGAATGGATTTTTTTTTTTTTTTAAAGCCGACCTTGCCTACAGCAGACACTCCGTCAATGTTCCCTCCCTTCCCTTTTTTCTTATTTACTGTGGTGTGAAACACAGACAGGGACGTGTGCAAAGTGCACAAGCCTTCCCTCTACAGTTTGGTGACCCTGGATCCATTGTATCATTTCAGCCCACTGTGGAGGCCGGTTCTCTGCACCCTGGACCACTCCCTGGGGCCACCTCCCATCCCAGACTCTTCCTGAGGGTCGGGGTCACTAATGTCTTGCTTTTTTGCTTCCTTTGTTGCAATGCTGGGGTCAAACGAGGCAAATGCTCTGCCCGGAGCTGCATCTCCAGTCCTGCTCTTCCGACTTCTTATCCCYGCCCTTCTAGAACTTTCCTGTCTGGCTTTCTCTGCCCACACGATTTCCGAGTCTCACCTGCGCCGGTGCTTGGCAGCCTGTACGTACTCAGGCTGAGATGCAGCACCTTCTTTGATAAAAAATGTCCTGTCTGCTCTTAGGACACCGGCCTCTCCCTTCTCTGAACCCAGGAGCACTTTACTCCGGAGCTGCATCCCCAGCCCCCCTTTAATTTATTTTTTTCTTTCCAGACAGGGTCTTGCTAAGTGGCCCCCGGCTGGCCTTGAATTTGCCATCCTCCCGCTCAGTCCCCTGAGTCGCTGGGACTGCAGGTGTGCACCCCCGTGCCTGCTCCCGGCATTTCTTATTCTCTAACCGGGAGAGCGTGAGGGACGTCCCCCTGAGCAACTCTTTCCACCTCCGTCTTCAACAGCTGGGAATCAGCAGACAGAAAGGACTCACACCCAGCCAACCGAAGWCGGGCCCTGGGGCCAGAGGAGGTGAGGCAGGAAGCAGAAGAAGAGCTCCATCCCCCGGTCCCCAAATCCTGGAAGGTGGCAGTGGGGAGGGCCATTGCCCAAGTTCCTGGTTAGCGTCTGCTGGAGCCAGGTTGGGCCAGAAGGCCCTGATCCTTATGATGTCGGGGTTGTGGGTTCTGGTTGCTGACTCTGCTGGTTTGGATCACTCAGGGCTGATGTGGCTTCTGGGGAGCAGGACACTTAAGGGAATCTTTGTGAGGATCCTGGGTGACCACCGAGCTAGAGGAACAGAGACTTCAGTGACGATGCACAGCAAGGAACACATACCGTGTGCAAAAAGAGTTTGAAAAAGTCACAAGTGAATGGCTCCAGTCCTTCATGAGCAAGAGCCAGTCCCCGGGGAGTGGGGGAAACCAGATTTCCAGAGTTACCACAGCATAATACTGAAAATGCCCAGTTCTCCAAAATATATCACAAGCCTAGAAACGCTCACAGGAGATGAAGAACCTGACATTACGTTATCTCCACAGAAGGCTGATGTACATTGGAACCATCAGCCAAAGGTGTTGAATCAGTGATCTTGACTACTTTCAAGGTAGATCAAGGAAATCATGGGCAAAGAACTAAAGGAAATAGGAAAACCAGGTCTGAATAGAAAAAAGAATATGCACACTCATACATTGCTGGTGGGACTGCAAATTGGTGCAGCCAGTTTGGAAAGCACTATGGAGATTCCTTGGAAAGCTGGGAATGGAACCACCATTTGACCCAGCTATTCCCCTTCTYGGACTATACCCAAAAGACCTAAGAAGAGCATACTACAGGGACCCAGCCACATCAATGTTTATAGCAGCACAATTCGCAATAGCTAGAATGTGGAACCAACCTAGATGTCCTTCAGTGGATGAATGGATAAAAAAAAATGTGGCATAAATACACAATGGAATATTGCACAGCAATAAAAAATAACAAGATCATGGCATTTGCAGGGAAATGGATGGCATTAGAGCAGATTATGCTAAGTGTATGAAGATGTGAGGGGGGAAAAAAAAGAATAGCATCACCTTAGATTGGGTAGAGAGAAGAGTTGGGAGGGGCGGGGAGGGGAAGGGGGGATAGGAAGGGCAGCAGAATAAAATAGACATTAGTATTGCTGTGGGTATGTGCGTGACTGCATGACCAATGTGATTCTGCAACCTGTACACTCAGAAAAATGAGAAATCATACCCCATTTGATTCAAATGTGTGATCTGTCAAGATCATTGTATTGTCATGTTTAATTAAAACAAATACATGGCCAGGAGTAGATCTGAACGTAGACGGTGGACCCCAGGTGGCATGTTCCCTGTGTGGGTTGACCATGACCAAGGTACCTGTTCTGTACAGAGGGGGAAGCGGCCTGTGTTTTGAGGCAGGATGAGAGTCGATGGGAACTCTTTGTACTCAATTTTGCTGTGAAACTGAAACTGCTCTAAAAATAGTCTCTCTCTCTCTCTCTCTCTCTCTCTTTATTTTTTTTATTTTTAAAAGAAACCAAACCGAAATTCTGGAACTGAAAAGTACAATGACGGAATGAAAAAACTCACTAGAGGGAGTTATCAGAAAATTTAATAAGCAGGCAGAAGAAAGGATGGGTGAACCTGAAGATAGGTCCGTTGAAATTATTGTTATGTAGAACAGGAATTTAAAAAAAAACAGACTTGGGATAAAAATGAACTAACTCTCAAGGGCCTGGAGAATCCCTCACAGACATGCTTATAAGAGTTCCACAAGGAAGAGAGATAAAAGGACAGAACATTTGAAGAAATGGTGGCCCCCCCCCAAAAAAAAATACTAGCAAGACAGAATCCAAATGCACATCCAAAAGATTCTTCACCATAATCAAGTTGGGTTCATACCAGAGATGCAAGGATCATTCAATATAGGTAAATCAATAAATGTGATATGTCACATAACAGAAGGAAGGACAACCATTTGGTCATCTCTAGAGACTCAGAAAAAAAGCACTTATTAAAAATTTAAATTCATTGATCATAAAACCTCTCCATGCATTAGGTGTACAAGGAGTGTACCTCATGGGTGTGGCTCGGTGTCAGAGCACTTGCCTGGCATGCACAAGGTCCTGGGGTCCAGACCCAGCACCTAGAACAAAAATAAAATCCCAAAAAAGACKGAATGGATACCTCCACACCATAAAACCCGTGCATGACAAACCTTGCTAATATAGCGAAGAGGAAAAGGTTGAAGGATTTTCCCCTAAAAATCTAAAATGAGACAAGGATGTCTGTGCTTTCCTCTTGTATTCAGTGTAGCTCTGGAAGTACTAGCCAGATCAATCAGGTAAGAGGAAGAAAGGAAGGCATACCAGTTGGAGATGTCACTAAAATTGTCCTCGTTGGCAGATGGCATGATCTCATACATAGGAAAACCTGAAGAATCCACAGAAACACGATCAGAACTCATAAATGAGCTGGGCGTGACAGCACAGAACCTGTGATCTTAGTTACTTTAGGAAAGTCAGGCARTAGGATCGTGAATTAAAAAAAAAAAAAGTCAAAACTGTTACAGAGATCAGGAGTGGGGACCTCCACTCAAACATAGTGGGACCCCCATCTCAAACGTCACCAATTGCAAAACTGACCAATGTTCAGTAGAGCTGTAGACTATAAGTCCGATATACAAAAATCATGGTGCTTCTACATTCCAACCGCAAGCCAGATGAAAAAGGAATCAAGAAATCCCATTCACCATGAGATGATCTACAGAATAGGAAAAAAAAAATCTAACAAGGGTTACTATCCAGAACTTACAAAAAATTCAAACATATCAACATAAAAGAAAACAAGTGATCCTATTGAAATATGCAAAAGATCTGAACAGACATTTCTCTGAAAGGCACACCAATGGTCACACAAAGAGTTGACRAAAACAAGCGCAACATCACTGATCACCAGGGACATGCAAAAGAAAACCACAAGACATCATCTCATCCCCCCGTTAGAACAGGCTGTGATCAATACGGCAAGAAATAACAAATGCTCAAGTTGTGGGGTAAAAGGGGCTCTTGTGCACACTGGAGGTGGGAATGTCAGTTAGTACAGCCATCGTGAAAATCGTAAGGAGAGTCCTCAGAAAGTTAAAGCTAGAATGAACATACAATCCAGCAATCCCACTACTGGATTATATATATATATATATATATATATCCCAGGGTTGCAAGTTCAAGGCCAGACTCGGCAACTTAGCAAGGTCCTGAGCAACTTAGAGAGTCTCAAGATTTAAAAAAAAATGAATTTAGTGGGTTCAAAAGACATCTACACTTTCACGTTTATTGTAGCACTCGTCACAATAACCAGATTTGGAATTAAATGGCCAACCACAGATGAATGTATCAAGAAAAGGTGGTCTACACACATGGAATACTACTCAGCTATAAAAACAACAAGATCCAGGCATTTGCCAAACCATAGGTGGATCTGGATGATATTATTTCAAGCAAAATAAATCAGACACAGAAAGACATATACTCTATGTTCTCACTCTGATGACCTCATAAAAGTAGAAATCTAGTAGAACAGTGGTTACCAGAGATTGGAGAGGGAAGAGAAA